GTATAGAAAGCACAAAGACACTTTTGTTAATATTTTTTTAATTCAGTAACAATTTTTTTCCCAAAATTCAAAGTAATAAAAACATGAAATGAAAGTTTTTACTCAGTAAAACTCAAACAGCAGCTCAGTTTTTATTGTTTCAGTGTTTAAATAAAAAACTCTCTGAGGTTTGGAGCTGGTTTCGTTCTGCTCACAGACCGGTCCATAAAGTCCCTGAACACAGCAGGACCCGGTCCGGTCCGGTCCGGTCCGGTCCGGTCCGGTCCGGTCATCACATCATGCCGCTCCACTGTAGAGACGTGTAGCGGACAGGTCCGTCCGGCGCCGGCGAGCACAGCAGGACGGTCTTCTTCACGTTGGAGCCCAGCCGGGCCACGGCGAGGACGTCCAGCAGGCACATGGACTCGTCCAGAGACACGCACACGGCGATGAAGTGGGCGTGGAAACGCAGCGGGTCACCTGAGGAGGAGGCGGAGTCAACGGCAGCTCGGACAGGACAAAGCGGATCCCGGGGTTCAGACTCACCTGGGTACACCAGGAAGTCGCCTCCAAACTTCCCTGCAGAGGTGAGGAAGAAGCCCCGCCCTCGCAGGTCTCTGAACACCTGGTACCGGGCCTGGCTGCGGGGCTCATCCTGCGCTCTGATTGGCCAGCTGGCCTGCAGGAAGGAGCGGGCCTCGGGGCAGTAGCTGAGCCCCGCCCTCGACGTGCTCAGCTGGACCGCCAGCGCCGAACGAGGGAAGGTGAAGTTCTGATGGAGGTCCAGCAGGAGGCGCTGCAGGGTCTCGTTGGACCCGGTACCAGACCCTGACCCTGCAGAACCAGAACCGTCAGCCCAACATCAGGAACCCTCTGCAGAGAAACAGTGACAGGTACCTGCAGGTGATGATGTCATCGCTCGGAGCAGAGCCGACTTCCTGTCCTCCAGAGCGAGAGCGCTCTGCTGCTGGAAGCTCCTCTGCTGCTCCTCCTCATACTGCTGCTGAGGCCCCGCCCCCTCTGCTGGAGCCACGCCCACTACATCCTGAAAAACAAGTCACCTGTGGCTCAAGCTGCAGGTAGTTCTCTGACATGGTTCTGACCTGTTTCTGACCCGGTTATGGCYTGGTTCTGACCCGGTTCTGACATGATTCTGACCCTGTTTGTTCTGACCCTGTTGGTTCTGGCCTGGTTCTGACCTGGTTCTGTTCTGGTTCTGACCCCGTTGGTTCTGACCTGGTTCTGATACGGTCCTGTACAGTTTCTGACCCGGCTGGTTCTGGCTAGGTTCTGGCCTGGTTCTGTTCAGGTTTTGACATGGTTCTGACCTGGTTCTGACACGGTTCTGTTCAGGTTCTGACCCTGCTGGTTCTGACCAGGTTCTGGCTAGGTTCTGGCCTGGTTCTGTTCAGGTTTTGACATGGTTCTGACCCGGTTCTGACCTGGTTCTGTTCAGGGAGGACAGCAGCTCCCTCCTCTCTCAGCAGCCTCTCCTCCTCTGGCAGCAGCAGCAGGGGTCGKCCCAGTCGGATGTTCTGTCGGGGGGTTCTGGGCAACGAGCCCAGCAGCGCCCCCACCAGACCCAGAGACCGGACCGTCCTCAGGTCCTGGGCCCGCCACAACAAGGGGGCGGAGTCACAGAGACTCAGGCCCACCACGCGGGCTGGCCTCTTCTCCTGGTCTCGCTCTTCTTGGTCCTGACCCTGGTCCTGGTCCTGGTCCTGACCCTGGTCCTCCTGGTCCTGGTCCTGGTCCTGACCCTGGTCCTCCTGGTCCTGGTCCTGACCCTCCATCAGTGGATCTCTGGCAGACATAAAGTTAAATCATTTTATTTTTAATAAAAACTGATGATTAATGTCAGACTCCAGGAAGTAGTCCGATCCTCACCTGTCTGTGATTGGTGGATTCAGACAACAGGTGATGACGCTCACTCTGGCTCCTCCTCCTCAGATCCTCATTCTGATCGATCAGTGTTGATTGACAGGTGTTTGACCCAATCACAGTGCAGTAAACATCTGTATCAGACTGAATGGATCCCAGTATTCTGTTGGGTCCGGTCCAGTTCCGAGTCTACAGTCCGAACATCAGTCAGCCGAACTAAGAGTAAAACCGGACCGAACAGAACCTCCTCACGAGATCACAGCCGGAAGCAAACAGGAGCTCTGTGCTCTAATCTCAGACAGGTTCGGGTCGACAAGGGTTCGGGTCTACAAGGGTTCGGGTCTACCAGGGTTCGGGTCTTCATCAACCAACCTGATCAGAAACTATCTGCTGATAAAAACTGTATTTGTTCACTTCCGCTTCTATCAAACTCAAAAACGCCCCGAAGTAGACCCTGAAACCTCCGAACCTGTGGTTCTGGTTGGAAACTGGACCCGAGACTCGAACCACCGGTTATTTAACTTATTAACTCGTTAACCAGCAGTGTTACCGAGTATTACCGCACGTGTCTCATCCAAGTTGGACCGCAGACCTGACGGAAACCGATGTTTTATCTCTGCGAAGGAGGCGGGGCTTATCWCCCCGGGGTTCAACCAATACAAACTAAGGCACGTGAAGACAGCCAATAGGAGCGCAGAGAGACTTGAGTGGCAGAAGGAAGAACCAATCACAGGCCTCCTGTGAGTCAGAGGAGWTTAAAGCCCAGAGTTTAGTCTGACAGGATCAGGATTTGTTCTGGTTTAGATCCTGTTGAGTGAACCTTCCCTGGCTGAAAAACATGAAGTGGACCAGAACTACCAGGTCCTGTTCAGAACTGGACACAGGATGAGGACCAAAGAGTCCTTTGTTCTTTGTTTATTATTTTCAGAGTTAAGAAAATAAAGGATTCAGATGCTGAGGTGGCTTTTATTTTGAAAGGAACACTGTACAAATGTTACAACATGCACAACTGCAGCAGGCAAAACTCATCTGCGCCTTGTGAGAATAAATTCTGTCCAATCAGATGCTCTGACACAGACTCCGCCCCTTTCTTTAGTGGAGGCGTGGCCTGAAGCTCATGTGGCTCCTCCCACTAAGCAATCTCCAGCTCCTGCAGCTCCTTCAGCAGCTGCTCCTCCTTTTGGATCTTCTCCAGCTGCACAAACACAAAGGTTTGAAAATATTTACAGTTCGGTTCTGATCCAAACGGACCCAACAGAACAACAGTCACATGGTGGTGATACAAAAATGAATTGTTATTGATAATGTGGGTTCTGTTGGAACCGTCACCTGGTTCTTCTGCAGAACCTTTCCAGACGCCTGCTGCTCCTTCAGCTCCTCGATGGCTTTCAGTTTCTGAAATGCACAAACACATGACTGACGTCCTGACCAATCAGAGCAGAGGACCACAAGAGTCCACCAGAACCTGTCCAGGTCTGCACCTTCTTTAAGTTCTTCATCTTCTTGTCCATCTCTGGGTCCCCGCTGCTGGCCTCTGATTGGCTGCTAGTGATGGGGGCGGGGCAAGATGGAGGTCCAGGTTCAACTTTGACTTCCTGCAGGAAGAAAATTCATCAACATCATCATCATCATCATCATCATCATCATCATCATCATCATCATCATCATCATCATCATCATCATCATCAAGGAGTGGTTAACGAGCAAGCTCACCTGTCTGGCTGCTTTCTTTGCTTCTCGTTTCTTCTGATTCTTCAGCGCAGACTTGGACAGACTCTTCTCCCCTGAAGGTCCGGAGCGGAGGTCCTGAGGGGGCTCGTCCTCGTGCTGATGGGAGGACAGAGTGTTTGGTCACATGACAGTAAGCCCCGCCTCCTGCGCAGCAAGCGTGCGACCTCACAGTCCTGAGTGGCTTTCTCATTTCCTCACCAGTTTGGAGCTGGGCGTGGCCGGCAGGTGTCTCAGAGCAGGTGGGCGATAGGCTTGTGTGGGCGTGGCCTGCGTGGTCCCCAGCTCGCTCGGTGCCGCCTGGTACTTGACGGGCCGCTCGGGGAAGACGCCGTCGGGGAAGGGCTGCCACTGGACCTTCCACAGCTCCGCCTTGGCATCCATGTCCTTTTTGTGCAGCACGGAGCCGGTGTAGTGCCAGATCTTGTATCCGTTGCCCACCCGCAGCCGAGGGGAGCAGGTCGCCGTGACGATGTGCTCGCCGTCAGGACACCAGGAGAAATACGTGGCGTCTGCTGCCTGAGGCTTGGACACCTGAGGAGGAAAGACACTTATCAGTGAGGAAGATCTGTAAAAATGAATACAGTTTACTTTGGACCAGCTGAAGAGCTGCAGCTGCCTCTGAGTGGAAAAGATCAGAGATGGATGATTGAGACCAGTGAGCTCATCTGTGTTTAACAATGGTGAACTGTGACGTCACTCAGCACCAGTTCTGTTCCTTTCAGGTCAGTGTGGCCAGCTGCTAACAGCTAATAACATCTATTAACAGCTACTAACAGGGGGCTAACAGCTACTAACACCTATTAACAGCTACTAACAGGGGGCTAACAGCTACTAACAGGGGGCTAACATCTAATAACCGGGGGCTAACAGCTATTAACAGCTACTAACATCTATTAACAGCTACTAACATCTATTAACAGCTACTAACATCTATTAACAGCTACTAACGGGGGCAAATAGCTAATAACAGCTACTAAC